AAATGTTGAAGTTAACTGCTACAATCCACTGCAAGAATATTTGGTTGCTGACCACTAGATGGAGTTTTAAAGAGTTTTCAATCAAGGCCTCAATATACCATAGCTCTAATTTCAGAATTACTTTCAACATGATATTTTAAAAGCTCTTTTAAAACAAATTACACAAAACTTGTTTTAAAAAACCTCTGCAACACAGACTAGTTAATTTTGAAACCAAACCAATTGTTGTCACCTTTAAGGTCAATTTAAACAGGCTTATTTATTTATTTATTTATTTATTAGTTTTGAGGTGCCTAAGGTAAGGCTTTTAGAGTCCTATTTAAATTGGTATAAATAAATAAATAAATAAAAGGGCCACTTTGCAAAGTAGTGATGTGAGCACCAATGCTTCTCATTGACTTCACTGGGATTTGTGGCTATTGGGCACCTCTGAAAATGAAATTACTTTTGTTTTAGGAAGCATCCGTATAGATTCGGAAACCTGATTTCAAGCATCTGTATGTGAACATTTTACCATGATTTTAAATTAAGCTCTTTTTTTCCTATCAGCGTTCTATCCATATTGGCATCAGCACCCCTCACTGTTAGTTATTGCTTACCCTCTTTCATGATACCCTGCCAGCTGCCTTAAAATCCAGGCAGAAGATTCACTTTCCTCTTGCCAGGTTTTGTTCTCCATTCCAGAGTTCTCTTAATAGAAAATTAGTTTAAATACGCTTTAGGTTTTTTAAATCTGCAAATTGTACGATAAGAATCTCATAAATGTAGACACCTCTGCTGGCTTTGACATTTATTAATGTAGGAGCTGTGCCTGCTGAAGTGACAAATTTTATCTCCCAAACTTTGAACACTCTTGTTGATAGAATTAAAAATGTCAGTACTTAAAATAAGGGGAAAAGTAGAACAAGACCGTGTTGGCAACTGATGATACAAAAAGTGGAGAGGGAGAAATAAAAGGACAGAATAGCTGTCAACAACTGCTGGCAAGAAAATTAGTTCTATTTTCAGCCTTTATGAGAGAATTACAGACAATGGCACGTTAAACAACAAAAGAGGAAAAAAGCCTTTGTGAGCTCTGTGTGCGCGCATCTTCAGGGCATCTTCAAAATATGCAGACATAGTTGTTGACTAATGACAGTGACAAAATTAGTAAATACAGTACAGGAGTTATTTACTCTGTTAATGCTTTTGTTTCCATGGCAATCTAATTAGTTATTTGAATATATTTATTTGTGGGGTTTTGTAGTTAAAGTAGCAATAATTTTCACTTGAAGAAGTTTACAAAAATTAATTAGTACCCACTTGCTGCACGAACTGAGGCAAAAATGACTACCTGAGCTGGAAGTCATGAGGTTGGAGTACAACTGAGGCTCAAGCTCAGGAGTCCATTTCTGCTCTCATTTTCACTGTTGTCAAGCCTGAGTAGTTCCCATAAAGTTAGTGTCCTTACTCAGGACTTGCACTGATGTGAAACCAGAATTTGGCTTCAGACTTAACCACTTTTTCTTAATAAACAAACAATGAATAGCTGTTTTAAAAAGTAGCTAGCCATAGTATGCCTCCATGTAACTCAATCTAGTTTTAAAGATCAGTAATGTTCCTCAAGGATTTCAAACATAGCTGGAGTTATTTTCACTGCACTCTGGGGGCTTATAGTTCTGATACAGGATACAAATAGCTTATGTGATCCTACCCTCCTGCCTCAGAAAACTGTTGGTTCCGGTGAGATTTATTTTTACTGGGCAATGGGAAAATGGGACCTTAAGACATAAAAACTCGGATTGTGATCTTTCATATACTGGTTTTATAGCAGTGTAACTCAGCTAGAGTGGTGTCACATCTAACTTACATCAATGACAGTGAGACTGAGCCAGAATTCAGATTCTGCAAAACCAGTGATCAGCTTACTGCTTGTCTGGAAACTAGCTTGTTGATATTGATATTAAAAGATTCCCTGAAACTTTTTGTTTGGGTGAAGTTTTCCTCTCTAACATAAGTATTGTGTATACCAGTCATCTTTATGTATATATTGGCTCCAGCAAATGGGAGGTTTATTGGCTGGCCAGAGGATGAAAAATCTGCAAGCAGTATTTAAAATATACTCTATGGGTGTAGAGAGAAGTGCAACTCCCATCTGTAACTCAGAATGCTTTTTGCAAAGCATTCTGATTTACAGGGTTACCCTAGACCAAACAGAAGTTCACTGCTGGTTCCAGGGGGAGGCAAATCCAGCTGTGGGCAGGGAGCCTGCAGCCAGGTTTCCACAGCAGTGGCCAGGGCTCTCTGCCAGTGCTCTCTGTTTTCAGAATGGGAGTTGGGAAAGGTAGCAGAGGGAGCTCATTCTAGGGGCTCCCCAGCTGGTGCTGAAGGATGGGGTGGGTGAATTGGAGCCTCCCCCCCACCCCACCTTGGTGGGGCTGCCATACATCTGCCCCACCCTCCGAAGGGCTGAAAACCCCCCAGACTGAACTCCCTCCACTCCCTTCTCCACTCCCATTCTGAAAACAACAATAGGCTGGAAGCTCCCAGACACAAGTTACAAAAGATATGCTACATTTTGTAACATCTTTATCTGATACCTCATGCAGTGAGGGGTCAGATTTTCACCCAATCAGCCATTTTTGAAGCTGTTGGCAGCTGTGCACTTGTGTTTGGTCACAGCTATAAGCTACTTTCTGTGGCCAGATCAGGCGAAAATTGTCACTTTTATCTGCACCTTATGAGTTTGTTCAAAAATGCCAGATCTATTTAGAATAGTAGAAAAGGGCTTTAAAATTGCTGCATAGAACTATAAAAACCGCTTGCAAAATATTTAGATTCTGTTCTTTCTTGAAGAAATATGTCCCGTCTTTGTAGATAATGGGCAAAGTTTTCAGAAGTGTCTACATTATTTTGGAGCCTAAATCCACACCCCAGGGAAACTCATTGTGAACATTGGGCACTTTCACGTGTGCTCCATGGGTGAGGGTAGGGCAGCACTTTAATTAAGCGAGAAAGCCACTCTAATTAAAGCACCATCGGCATCTCCTGTATCAGGGCCCCTGTGCTTAAAAATGGTAGTGGGGGCACTTGAACTAAATCTTGTTTGACAGGCTTTAGTTCCCCATTTTTAAGCATGAGGCTGCTTTAGTTCCCCATTTTAAAGCATGCCGTTTTTAAGCATGGGGACACTTATACATGAGGTGCAATTGCCACACTCCAGCAGACCTGATTAGTGGAGTCTGCTCGGAGCAGTCTCTACGCTTGTGTACAGGTGCCCCTAGTGCCTAAATTATCATTATAATTGACTACGTCTCCCACATCCAATTTTCAAGAGGGACTTGCACATATAGGGTCCTAAGTTCCATTGACTTGCAATGAGAATGTAACAATTAAGTCTTCCTTTGGAAAAAGGACTTAAGTTGCTAAGTTACTATCAACAATTTTGATAGTTCTGCCTTCTACCCCTGTAAATTACCATCACTTTTCATTTGCTGTAAACCTACAGTCTGCATAAAATAAGAATCGGGCTAGTTAAATGAAGGTTTAGTACATTGCAAAAATAAATATTTTGAGTATGGTCCCTTTCATGCTTCTTGACCCATGGCATTAGATGTTTTGATCATATAGTAAGACTACTACTATGAACATTTTGGATGGCATGTTAAATTCTTACGGCTGAATTCTCCTTGGCTGTGGATGGCCCAGAACTGAGGATGATTACACTTCAGCTGTTTAGGGCGCTGGTGGAGGTTGTGCAAAGAGCTGAGGTCTCTGATGTTTCTGTTCTGCAGCACACAAGGAAGGAAATGTCAGTGATTTGACCACTGACCCAAGAAGTATGTTAATTTTTTACCACAGAATTGCGTGATGGTAACTGTTACCTCAGCCCACGAGCAGAGACATAAGGATCTGTGTTAGGCTCCTTTACACAATGTCAGTTTACTTGGGTTTTATGCTGAGACCTGGGATTTTTTTCACTCACAATTGATTCACATTTGTGAATTATGACATTTTTATGATGTCAGAACATGATTTGCAAAATTTAATCATTTGAAATACTTGAATAATATGGTTTGATGTATAAGCCATGTAGCTTGTGATTTTGCCAGATATTCTTCTACATGTACTTTGTTTTAACTGCACTGGTAGTTGTGTTGATGCAGGTATACTGGCATAAAAGTGTTTATATTAGTATAGGGATTTTGGTTATTTTGATTCACTGAAGTATACCATGCTGGTATTAAGCACTTTATAGTGCCGTTGGGACTTCAACAGCAATACTATGATAATAAAACTTCATAACCTGTGTTGTCTTTGGTTTGCTGGCAGTTTTCATTGGGCCTTGGGAAAACTGAAAAGGCAGTTACTTCACCATTTATTGACGCAAACACTTTGCCATCTGACGTGGCTCTGTTTGAGTGAGATGGTACACTGCCTCTCCATCTAATAAACTGTCATTAATTTTGGCATAGGCTTAAGCCTCCTGTAGTATATGGTTGTGCAAAACGAGCTAAAGTTTAAAGCTGTGCTATCAAATATCTTCAGTCCATGCATTAATACTGGAGCCAAGACCCCTCACTGTGACAACTGGTGAAGAAAAATTATCCATACAAATGTAGGTAAATTAATTCAAATTACTTGCGTTTTAGTGTGTATGTGCTGGGCACTGCACACAGTAAAGTTTGAAATACATCAGGAGAACATGAACAATGACACAGTTTGTGGCAAAAGGAGTACTTTTAACTGTAGAAAGGGAAGAAAAGTATATGGGAGAAATACATGGGGAAATATCAGAAAAGGGAAGAGTAAACAGGAAGTGGCCAGTCTGTACTCATTTTAAATTATGTATGGAGAAAAACATTTGTTGGTAGCTGATCATTCTGTCTTCAGCAGAAAGAGAAATCTGAGGGGCCAGTTATTTTGCTTCCTAGTGGAAAGTGTGGAAACTCTTGACTTTATTAGATCAACAACAACTCTGGAAAAGAGGTATAGCAATGACATAAGCAGATACAGAGGTGAACAAGTCTGTTAGTTTATTGATTTTACATAATTTGCCCTTTAACAAGAGGGCTACAAGCCATAGATTAATTAAAAAATACTAGATTTAATTTTGTGAGAAAATAATACTGTTAATAATGGCACTTTTTCTTGTACTTTGTAATGTACACTTTATACACACATCAACATATACAGTACACTTCAACTGTTCAAAGAGGTTTACATTTAAATGATGATAAACTTGTACGTTCTCCATAGGAAATAATTTAATAAATTCTTTGCAAGTTCTTTTTACATCAGTAGGCTGCTTTTATCTGCATATATACAGTACTTTACCTATATTCATTCAAATGTAAAACAGATCAGCTTATATTTACAAAGGAATCAGAAACCTTCAGGCATTATCATGGAAAGGCCTCACTTCTGGTAACTTGTTTGCTTTGTTTTGAAAGCTTTGGATTCACGTTGCTTAATATATTCTCTTCCGCATTTAATTTTTTATTTTAAGTACATTTTCTAATGTATTTTGGGGTATTTTAATATTTATCTTTTTAAATTGCTGCTAATTCAATCACAGAAAATTAATAGAAAATTAGGGTTGGAAGGGACCTCAGGAGGCCATCTAGTCTAACCCCTGATGTTGCATATGAATACTACAGTCCTTGTCACCATTTCCCCAGTATGGAAATAGTGTGGATTAGTGGTTGTGGGTGAGCTGCGAGATAAGATTTGCTCTGAAAAACAGCAAATTCATCCAGAAAAGGCTTGAGTGTGTGTGTGCGCGCATGAGCGCAGCCTATTAATTAATACCCTCACATTTAAAATGTTTCCAACGATATGTGCAAAAATGCTTAACTTCAGTTGCATTAAAAAAATAGGACTTTAAAAGAGTTGATAGAGATTTGTAGAGGGTGTTGAGAAAAACTGGTGGGATCTTTGTCTCTCCCATTTTACTGGATAACATTCAGCTGTGATGTTAAATCTTGGCAGTAAACCTGAATCTCATTAAAAAACATAAGAACAGGAGCTAGGGTGGTGAAGCAAATATGCAGTGATTGGTACCAAGGATAAAGTGTGAGGCCTGTGATGAGAAAAAGTAGGTGAACAAAATGAAACATGAAAATCAAATAGCATAGCGCATTAAAACTGACAAGAAACAATAATCTGAAGTGAGATGATAAAAGATCAATGGTCTGAAGCAGAGAATTTCATCTCAATAGAAGAGGATAGAAATTAATGTGGTATTTTATTCCTCATCAATGAAGAGACCGCCTGTGTGATAATCGGGGGTACAATTATATGGGGACAAAAATTTGGAAGTAAACAAGCGACCCAAGTTAAAACGGACAGTGCCCCTAAATCTTTAAGACAGACAGGTGGGGGGCCTCCCAGGTGCCGCTGCAGAGAGCTTTGTGTCATGTCATCCCTTTACTTCAGATTACCTGCGTTCTTCCCTTTGCATATTTTAAACAAAGTCTATGAGAAATTAATTATCAAAAGTAATTACTTTTGAAAGACTGCAAAGAAAGTTAAGAGCATTAGTAAGGAGCTGGTCAGGGCTCTTTGGGAAAAGTAGCACTTGACTGAAAATATTCAATAAACTCTTGGGGAAGAGCATTTTATATTGAGTGAAGCTGGAACGGTGAGAGGATGCAATCGTTGTTGCAAGAAGAAAGATGCATTTGTTTCCCTATGTCTATATTTTCAGAGAAATCATCTGAGAGGATTGAATTTCAGAAGTTAGCTTTAAGGAGATAAGTATAATAGAGCATGAAGAGACTTGGCAATGTGACTAAAATTGTATAAAGGAGGAGAATCTGCTTGTTAACTGAAGCTTTCCATCCCAAAACTGAAGCTGCCAGTGAAGTAATGCAGAAATTACTGGCGAGAGTCTCTTACATGCATTTAAAAATAGTTTGAGACTGAAAGATTTTTTTGAGTGCACAGATGCTATAGCAGAGAGGTTACATAGTCCTGGAAAATATAGAAAGGCAGATACTCGTTGTGTCCAAATGTGTAAGTAGTCTAATATAGTCTTAGAAAAGAGATGTAGGAAACCATTTAAACTACCATAATAGGTGTCACACAATTATATTTAGTGAGAAACCATGCATATACAATATGTAGAGCATGAACGATCATATAATAAATCAAACACAATGCTAGGGGAAAGCTGATTGCTATCAGTTGGTTCAAGAAGCAGTGTTTTTATGGGCTCACACACACACTGATATGACAGCTAAGGATTCCATCTTTCCCGTGGACAAATGGCAACACAGATATCTAATTTGATATACAAGCATTTGAGTGTAAAAAGACTTTGGGCAAAAGCGTCCATAACTTATTCCATATATTTGATGCAAATATGAAATATATTAAATAAATTGGACACAAATAAGGACAAGTAAAGATAGGAGTATGGAAAGAGAAGAGCAGTTATATTGAAGAGGAGGATCTGAGCCCACCCTTTTCTTGGTTCATAAATAATGGGATATATTAGCATGGTGAAATGGTATTAATTACAAAGGTTAAACCTATTTTCTCCTCATGCCTTCTAGATCAGAACCTTGCTAAACCACATTTTGGTAAACTGTATATCCATACCTACATAGAATTTTAATTTGCATTTGATTAACATTTGTCTCAGCTAAACTCTGCTACTGTGTTGAGAGAAGACCAATAAAGGTGATGACATGCTCCCGATAGGGTGGTGGCGGCGTATCACTTTAACTTTCTGCCTCCCCACTGTCAGTAATGCCCTTGGAACAGGGGAAGCACATTTACACACATTTATGCTGTTTGGGTCAGGTGCTCTTCTTTCACACCACTCTGTAGCCATGAAACCTAACGAGCTTGCACTGCAGTGCTTCTTGTTACTATGAGTCGATGAGGCTCTACTGCATGTTTGTGTGTTCGCAGGGTACCTGGTTTTCTGCCAGGTTGGAATTATATATATAATTGCGAACACATATGTGTCAAACAAGCAAACCTGCAATTGATATAGTGTGTGTGTCTGTGTATGCACTGCTCTTTGCACCAATAATATATATATATCATTTTAAGTGTTAGTTTCCTAACTGTGTGTATGTATAACGTGACTGATGCTTCTGTAAATAAAAATCCAAAATGCTGTTGATTACGTAGAACAAAACAATTTTAACAGGCTAAATCTGTAAGTTTTACACTGCTATGAGCAGCGTAGGTTTTACACCTAAAATGTAGGTTTTACACTGCTATGAACTAAATTAATTCCTTTTATATTGATTCATCTCCTGCTTTCTATCAAATCAGATGCTTGAATTTGGGAATTCAATAGGATAACTGAGTCCCTGCTTTTTTATAAATGATTAAACCACTCATTGCTTCAAGACACGTTGTTCTAGTCAAGGAAAACAGTAACTTGTATTTGAAAAGGGCTCTTGATCCTTTCCCATTTTAAAACAAAAATTGATATTAAAGACTTTCTGCAGTATGTTCAAACCTTTAATGAGGTCCACTGAATGAAGAGACTTCAGTTTGTGTCTGTCATAAGCATGTCCTTTGCAAATGCAGAAATTTTTATTTTTAAAATAGTTACATGAACATATGTGGACCATAACACTTAGTCAGGCATTCTTTAAAGCAGGTAAGTTTTTACTTTCATTCTAACTTCATGTGTTCTTCACTTTAATATGCATATCTCTCGATTCTCCTGAAATTAGTTAATAAATATTTCTAAATCACTGAAATGCTTTATGATGCAAACAAAGCAAAGAAAACATAAATGCATTGTTGTTAATTGTTACATCTACAAAAATGTGATATGTTAAGGATGTTAAAATTAGGTATGTTTGTGTGAGAATATCCTTCCTTAGAACTGCAAATCTGGGGGTATTTTAGAAGGGAATTGGTAAAGTAACAAAGCAAATTAGTTAAATACCAATGTAATTTATAATTAATACTTCACTTTTCAGCCTCATACAGTTGAACGGTATGATTTTTAACAGAGGCCGCCTTCATTGAAAATATGCTGTTTCTTCACCCAGGATAGCACTACTTTTTAAATTAAAAACAGTTGTATTCTGTTATATTCAGAGTAAGATATATTCTCTTCCTGTACAAGATAACAAAGTGCTGCATCTTCATTCAAGGCTTCAGTTAACCGCTTAGTGATTTTTTTTTCCAGACAGGATCATAAAAACTGTGAGGACAAAGTTTATGTTTTATAATCAATTCAGTGCATTGAAAATATTGGAAGTCACAGGCGTTATAACAGGTAGATAGACTTTGAAGAGATTTATGCAACCAGTTTTAATATCTCTAGGTTAAAACTGTAACTCAGTTCTAACGGAAGCCCCTTTCAAGCCTCCTTGCTAGGCACTCCTACATAAATGATCTTTATGAATATCAACAGCAGAACAGTCACATACTGAGTACTGTACTGGTATTCCGAGTACTGAGCACCATGAGACTCTCATGCCTACGTTATAACCTGCTGTACTACTGTGCGTTCATGGGAACATCCTCGATTTCCACAGTGTATTTTTTTAAGCAGCCGTCGCAGTTTGTTGGAAAAGTTTTTATTAAGGTATCGGTAGAGTAGAGGCATTACAAAGCTGCTTGAGAAAGCCAAGAATTTTGATAAAACCGTGATAAAAGGTAATATTCTGGTGTAATCGTCATCTGTAACTTTTCCTTGCGTGTTAGTAAACGTGCTGACCAAAAGAGTCATGTAGTAGGGCGTCCATAATGTGAACTGTGTACAGACTGTAGCAATCAGAAGCCTGTGAACTGAAGGATCAAGTCTTCCAGTGTCTTGGTCAAGTGGAGTAGCCTCTTTACGTATTCGCAATATTAGGACAAGTGCATATAGTACAGCAACAGCTGGTACGACATATCCGATAAAAACCATAATAGCGTCGGCTGCTTCTTTATTTTGCATCTTGGAACATTCAATTATTTTTGTGGATACATGATTGCAGACGTAGAACAGTAGAGATGAAAAGCTTGTAAGCATAGCTCCTCCCCAGATGAACCCACAGACATGTTTTGTGTTGTACACACTTGACATGTAAGTTCTCGGTAAAGCACGTTCAATGTAGTAGTCCAAGCTGAGCAATGTGGTAGAGTACATGATAACTAAAGATGAAACATTGAATAAAATAAGTAATGTAATATAAACTTCATTGTTAAAAGTCCAGATAGCCCATTTTGTACTGGCAGGTCCCAAAAGGTACATAGGTGCCATAGCATTGATGATGAGACCAGCAATTGCAATATTGACGAAGTAAACATCTGGCATTGTCATAGTCGCTTTGTTGTAGAGATTAACCAGGACCAGCAGGGCATTGTAACAAAGGCCTATTGGAAAACAGACGATGAGGTAGAGTAAGGAAAGGATGGAGAGAGTAAGGTGGAAGTCATGACATAGATGCTGGTCCTCGCTGTTCTTGGTACTATTCAAAACTTCACAGCTCCACATAGTGATCTGAACTTTTGTATTTTCTCTGCTGGTTACCAGCTTTTCTGAGGAGAGAGAAATAGTGAAAATAAGTAAAGGTTCACCTATATTATAAGGAAGGCATGATTGGTGATCTATGAAGAACTAAACTGCCTTTTGTTTTGCTAGCAGAAACTTGCTTAATGCCTCAAGTTATATTAGGAGAACTATTGTAATAAAATGTGGTGGGTAGTTCATTAGAAGACAGACACTCAACAGACATTAATACATGGATATATCTCTTTAAATGCACCATATCCACTATAATACAAAGGATTATCGTGTAATATATTGGATTATTATAATACAGCATACATAATGCATCTAACACGTAAATAACACGTCCTAAACTGAAGAAAGACAATAGCTTTTTAGGATGAACTTCCAAAAGCAAGAGTAACTTGGAGAATAAACTCTAGCGTTCTGTGTGGCAGAGTATGCACACATAAAGAGAGGTCCTTAGTAGGGAACTTTAAGACGACTAAGACCAACTACAGTGGGTAAGTAGAAATGGGTGGGCATTGGGTCGGCTGTTAGGTAGACCAAGGCTATGGGGAACTTGGCAAACTAAATGATTCTTTTCTGTCCAGCGCACTTTTAGTTTACCCATTGATTTCAGTGGGCTTACACATGTAGTGAATATGGATAAATGTTTGCAGGACTGGGGTCCAATTTACTCATTTCTGCTCTAGGTAGGAAAACATTTCTGAAAACTTACTTCAGTTCTTTTCTAAAACTATTTAAAATATTTTTCTCACAATTTGTTTGGCATGACTAGTTAGAATTTTGTGCTGACATTATTTTTCATTCATGTTTTCATTTAAATGATTACAGTTAAATAAATGCCCACTCAGACTTCACAGTGTATTACATTATGCCTCACACTATATTATATTATATTAATGTTCATTTAAAAAAGGAATGTATTTTTTATAAACTAATATTATAGAGGAAACATTACTTCCACAGTTAAAGTTGATGATAACTTACCATTAAAAGCCTAATGTAAAGACCTTAGAAAGAATCCATATGCAGCAACTTCAAAAACCTCTCTGAATTGCACTTTTTGAGACCCTCTACGTTGTGCAGAATATGTATGAAAAATATCTATTTCTTTCAGCATCAAGAAAATATTTGAGTCAATACTTCAAATAAAATAAATGAATAAATACAGCACTGCCAATGAATAAGCTAAATATTGTTTGTAGTTAGAAGCTAGTACAGGAAAGGTCCGACTTCAATTATCGTTTGTTATTCTCCTCCTCCCCCCACCTCCCAAAGTCAGATTTCAGTAATGTTTGTCCAGCTACTCTTTGTTTCATACAAATAGAGGCATTTTCTTTTCTTTTTTTATGGAAACCCAGATGTATTTCAAAATAAAAATGAAAGGAATCTCTCCGTTTTACGAAGAGGGGAAATCCCACCCCCCATGTAAAAATGGAAGTATTGGGGATGTCAGTACTGTTACTTCTGCTGGGCCATATTGTCTCATCAATTTTTAAGCTAACTTCCATGTTGAAATTAATGTGGAAGTTGCTTCAAGATTTCTGGTACCATCTGCCCTACAGTGTGGACCTTTATAGCAACTGATTTTATATGGCAAACACTCCGATGCTCAGCCTTAGTTTTAATTCTTTCTTTTCAAGGTGTGAGTGGGAGAATGTGTACACACATTTTGTTAATAGTAGGGAGACAAAATAACCAAATCTGTAATAAAGGTTTTGCAATTCAAATGACAACATGGCTAAGTGCACCACCTTGGATTCAATTAAACAATTTGAGTTTTGTAAACACGAGGGCCACATTTGATACTCAATTACACGTGTGCAGCTTAACTGAAATATTAAGAGAGTTGCGCTGGTGTAACCAAGCACGGGATTTAGCCCAGTCTGTTTAATCTCCTTCCTCAGCTGCTGTCCTTGAGTTTGTGTCTCAAACTCCCTCTCACCGTTCTGTAGCAGGAGTCGAACCAAAGAGTCTGCTGCGTCGGGCAATAATCCACTTTTAAAAACTGAGTTTCCTCAGATAGACTGGACTTTGTAAGAGAAGTAGAAAGTGATGATTGTTTTAATCATAATTTTCCTTTAGTATTGTTTGAAGGCGTCATTATTTTTTCCTAGGTGATTTTTTTCCTATGATTTATTTTTGAGCTATAGTGTTACAAATGTATACAGAGCCTTTGCTTATTTAAATATTGCCTCTCAAACCCTCATACCGTCTTCGAAAATCTAAAGCAGTCTACTTTCCTTTACATGAAGCAGGCACTGTATAAACTGTTGAAATAATCTGTGCTGCATGTTAATTGGTGACGACAGAAATGACAGGTCAACTCACTGAACTGCAGCAAGTTGGTTCAACTAACACTGAAGACACAGCTAGACACTGCATGTGAATGCACCTAGATATACCCCCAGCACCCACATGAAGCCCCGCTGACCATAAGCAAAGACATAAGGCAGCGACCAAGTAAATCCATTTTTCAAGACCTAACTCTACGCAGCTAGCTTTCACTACAGCCTAAATGACATCAGCCTTAGAAATACTTCTCTTTATATTATCCCATTGAAAACCATTTTTGTTATTTTTTACAGAGCCGAATAGCTGCTTCTACAAAGGTTCAAAGATTAACACCATCACACTGATATCTTTGAAATGCAGTGAAATAAAACACCATTCTGTTCTCATAGGAATGGGAGGCAATTTATTGTGCCCAGTAATTTTCTTGTGAAACTTGCGAAACTCTCGTTAGCTGTGATCATAAGTAAAGTATGAACATTTGTCATAAGCATACTTTCTGCAAAATACAAGGCTTGAAAGGTTTCTAAAACACTGGACCTACAGTATTTCAGTATGCATATTTCAGTATACATACTGAAATACTGAAGAAAGTATATCAGTATTTTCATAATGATATACAAATACAACCCCCCCTCCTGTTTTTGACGTATTACTTGTTCGCCTGAGAAACTACATTGATACATTGTTTAGGCTCCATCCTGCATTTGTTACTGAGGCAGGTCTCCCGTCACCAGAGGGAGTTTTGCCAGAGTAAAGACTGTACCTTCACGATCTCTGAAATGAAGCTGTAATACAACTAAGTCAGCTATTTATCTAATAAAATGACTTTTTTTCTGCTGCAGATTCATTGTTTTGTTGTGTAGTTGCCACATGCATTTTATTTCGACTAAGCCTGCCAAATGCCTCACTCCCAGTTTCTCATTTTACTCAGTGCTGATTAATTAAAAAACCAGAAACAAAAACCCCAAACCCACCCTCCCTCCGCACCGCCTCTAAATTTGTCCGTCTCATGGCCTGGACTTTATTTCAGCAGCATTGTTATACAGCTTTGTAAACACTTACCTTCAGTTCATGTTTTATGTTCCTTTGTACTGTGAGGTTCCCAAACGCTGGGTAAATAACTTTCCAGAGAAAGGAAGTCGACTGCAAAGGACTGTCATGTTCTTGTGTAAAAACACTGTGATCTCATTTTGGTAGAGCTCACGCAGCCACGAGCATTCCCGGCTGCGTGTGCGCTGCACTTGTTTGTCCTAGTAAATTACTCACAAAGTTTCTGCTTTGCTTGGCAGGCTGCACTAGCCCCTCCCTTTCTCTGTTTACAGCCTGTTTCAAGAAAGGGGAGGAGGTTGTGCCCAGAGGGGAGTGGACTGTTGGCTTAAATTTAGCTAAATTTTAACGCCTTCAGATTTACTACGAAGATACCTCAGTTCCTGGAGCACTGGCTCGTTTCACTGCGCAGCCAGTTACATTCGTGGGTTTCTTGCCATTTGAGAACCTACTGCGTTCTCGCTAAGTGAAGCTTTCCAGTCACTTGGCAGCTATTGTTCAGGAACAGACTGGTGTTTTACATCAGAACCTGCCATTGGGAAATAGAGTTTAAGGTTCTGTTTTTCTGGACATGCCATCTAGATAGCAGAACAAAGTGTCCAAGCACCCCTCTTGCATACATAAGAAAGAACTAGCGTGTATCATGAGCTAATAAGGAAAAAAAAAATCCACAATCCTGGTTTGGCTCTAACAAAATGTATGGGTATAGAATGAAGGTATACTGCATGTTGTGGTGGGTATTATGCATTCATTTGCTTTCAAATTAAAAAATACCCAGGAATGGAAAAACAAATACTCTCAGAGGACTCTTAATTCAGCCCCTCCTGAGATGAAGCACTCATTGCTGTTCACAGTACATTTAAATTGATACCATCAAACAAAAGTAACATATTGTCTTATTTTCTTCCCTTCACTTATAGTTAAGTCTTCTGATTTGGGTTTAAGCAATAAACACCAAGAAAACTGCTATTGATACCAAAAACAAAAGAGATGTTCATTGAACACTGAGAATGTCTACCTAGTTTGCCTGGATTTCACCCCCTTTCCTCATATGGTTTGCTTACAAGTGATATCCTTGCTCCCTTGGTTTTATCAAACATTAATTCATGCTGGATACTTCAAACTAGCCCTAAGAGGCAGCTTATTCCTGTATTTTTAGGGACACCATAGGGAGAATTGTACACATGCACAGATGTGAAACAAGACTGCATTATACATTGCAGGTTCAGCTTTATAATTTGTCTATATAAATTCTTTCGGAAGTGGACAGATCCACACAATTTTAAACACCGTTGTAGTCAATTGTCTATGTTTTTATTTGATTTAGAAACACAAAACACTGAATTTTTTGCTGTGTAGACTTAGACCCCATGTTCAGAAAATAATTTTCTACTTAAAATTTCAATTTGTCATGTATGAAAAAGTAACTCAGAGTGTATTGACTCTGAATACTCATTAGCAAGCTAAAAATATGGATTGTCAACCACATAAAACCAATAAATCAGTCTCTGAATAGGCCAAGAGCTCTTTCACACTGAGGTTCAGATCCTGTCTTATATAGCGTTCCCACAAATCCCATTAATTTTACAGAGATTGCAAATAAGGCTCATTTTGTGATTAAAGAGTACATAGGATTTTATTGGACCATACAGATTTTAGTCAAATAAAGATTAAGATAATTGGAAAATCATTGTCAGAAATGCTGCATTTATACCCTCATCATAACTCGATAATTCACCAAGTAATTCATCAATGTTTATATATTGGAGCATGTAAATATTAACAAGTATTCTCTGGTTGGTTGCAATAATGATATTTATGTATCCAGAATTACCAGTCATGGATCACTTACATTTTCAAAATGAAAGTTTTATTCCAGGAAGAATAGCCACCTAACTTAGCAAACGGAGAATTAAGGAAAAGGGCAATGACAGTGCTTCTTTAGTGCCAATAATCTCCAAGCCTAATAACAAGGAATCTTTTGAATGTTTTCTTCTTTTATGCACGTGCCACAGGGATTAGCAGGATAATCACTGGATGGTCATAGAAATAGCAGTAGTTTAAAATTAAAACCAAGACACCCAGATTAGACATGAAAAAATGTTGTTAATAGTAGGGCAATTCGGGTGAGTCAGCCTTGTTTGTAATGCAGGTATTTGATAGAGCACAGATAAAATACTTTTAACATTAGCAATAGAGGAAAATCCTGCTTGATGCAGGGTGTTGGGCTGTCATTTTATATCTTTGTGGTGCAACCAGTGACCAGTTTGACTGGTGAAATGCTTGTAACTTTGTGCTATCACTGCAGTGATAGAATATGGTTAATTCACTGCAATCTGATGAATGAGAAGCCAAGACTAAATGACATACCGGAAGTGGGTTTACAAAACAGCACTGAACCTAATTTGTGAGAGGTTGGGCAGAGAATAGAACAAAACCGTCTCTAGTTTTTGGAGTCACTACTTTTTGGCTCAATCCTCTGAAATGCTGAGTGCCTGAAATGAGTGTAGGAGGGGAGGGGTGTGCGTGCGTGTGCACATCACTGGCAAATCAATGGAAGGGAATATTGGCTACATTGCATTCTCATCTTCCTTAATTCCCACTCCACTACTATTCACAGATTCACAGAAGTTTAGAGCAGTCTCTCCCAAGTTCATTCTTGGTAAAGTCCAAAGCTGCGTCACAGCAAAAAACATCAATCACTTTGACTCAGTTTCCCTTTCTATTTTTGCCTAATTTTTACACCTAATTAAACATGCAGTTTATGA